TTGTGCAAAACCTAGATCTAAAGCAAGACGTTGATGTGCAAACAGAGGAAGTAAACATCACATGGCTTAAAATTAAGAAAGGTGTGTGTCAAGGTTGTATTCTTTCTCATTGCCTATTCAATCTATATGCTGAGCAAATTATTTGAGAAGCTGGACTCTATGAAGAATATGGTATCAGGATTGGAAGAAGACTCATCAACAGCCTGATTTATGCAGATGACACAACATCGTGATAGACTGAAAAAAGACTGAAACTCAACAATTTTATTGTACCTAAATCCACAATCAACGCACTTGGGAACAGCAGTTAGGGGATCAGGAAATGTATTACATAGGGAAAGTTTACAGTCAGGGACCTCTCCAAATTATTGCAGTGAAGTCAGTTTGGTTTCAGTCACTTACTGTGCTGCTGAGAGTTGAACTAGGGATAAGAATGACAGAAGAACAGATGTTTTCAATTATGGTGTTGGAGAAGAGTGATGAATGATTTATGGACTGCCAAAAGAACAAGTATGTTGTAAGAAGACCATTAACCAGGTGAGTTGACAGTGACTTCTGCAATGGGCTTGTGTGTGTCAGAAGAGAATGAAGATGGCTCAAGATAGAAGAGTTCAGATCTGTTTTTAGGGTCACTATGAGTCCTGCTGAGCGAGTTTGGCCCTTTTGATTTTCTGACTCCAACTCCTTGCACATTTCATTGTAATATTTTGCTTTGTCATCTCACACTGCCTTTTGAAATCTTCTATTCAATTCTTTAGTATCTTGAATCCTTCCTTGTACTTTGGCTTCTCAGCACTCCAGTGCAATTTTCAGAGTCTCTTCTGACATCCATTTTGGTCTTCTCTTTCTCTACTGTCTTTGCAATAACCGTTTGCACCCTTCCTTGATATCCTCCCACACTCTTCTGGTCTTCGCTCATTAGTGTTGAACACTAACAGGCCTCAAACCTGTTCCTGAGATCGTTCTGAAATTCAGGGGGGATAGACTCAAAGTCATATTTTGGTTCGCGTGGATTTGGTTTAATTTTCATCAGCTTCTACAATCAGCTCCTGGACTCGTTTTCACAGCTGATATTGAGCTTCTCCAACGGTTCTTTCCACAGATGTAATCTGATTTCTATGCATACCATCAGGTGAAATCCATGTATGTAACTTGCGTTTATGTCTCTTAAAAAAAGTATTTGCTATGAATAAGTCACCGATTGTGCAAAATTCAATCATTCTCTCTCCAGCTCCATTTCTGTTACCGAGTCCATGTTTTCCAACTACTGAATGCCTTTGAGCTGTGGTGCTGGAGAAGAGTACTAAGAGTACCATGGACTGCTAGGAAAACAAACATTCATCCTGGAAAGGGTTAAACCGGGTGGCTCCTTGGAGGCAAGGATTATGAAGCTTCGTCTGACATACTTTGGACATGTTGTGAGGAGGGACAGGTCCTTGGAGAGGGACATCATGCTTGGGAGGGTGGAGGAACAGCGCAGGAGGGGAAGACCCTCTATGAGGTGGATTGATTCAGTGACTGGGGTAATCCGATGGGTGTGTCAGAGACAGTGCGATTGGCACAGGACAGAGCAGAGTTTAGGGCTGTTGTACATAGGGTCGCTATGAGTTGCAAGTGACTCGATGGCACATAACAACATGAGTCCTGCTTAACTCGATAGCACCTGATAACAACCTTGCCAACTAAGTCCCCAGAGAATATAGATTGAGGAAGGTCTTTGAGAAACCAAAGTCCAATTTAGCAGCCTTCAAACACCAGACAATTCACAAACTTGTACTCAGCGAGAGTCACACACCTCTGAACAAATTTGAACACTCAGGAACAAGCTTCCGACTAAATCGGCTTTGTACCCCTGCCCGGAAACAGCGTGTTCTCGTTCTCGTGGCTGTATTTCCGGAACGGAGTGACGTCATGGTGGGCGGGGCGGGCTTCTCTGGCCCAGAGACTCTGCTGCTCTGGAGGATTCCTGCATGGTAAGAAGCATGCGGTGTGGCTGGGTGGGCGCCGGGAACATAAGGCGCGGGGTCACCTGATCCGTTCTCCGAGGCCTTTCTGCGCTGGCTGTGGGAAGCAGGGAGGGCCGAGAAAGTGGCTATGGAGTTTCCCGGGGCCCCCAGTGGTGTGAGTGGGGTGGTGGTAGAGGGTGCTGAAATTCGCCATCCGCCCAGAGAAGCCAGTTGAGAAGGGTAAACAGATCAGTCAAAAAAGCTGTTGTTGGATTGGTTGGGCTGCTGGCATTGGAGCAGACAGTCTCATAAGTGGGGCGCGGAGGGCCTGGCGGACCCGGAACCCCGTCCCCCCTTTTGATACTCAGCTCTCCACATATTTAAGGAAAGGAAAATGCACCTCCTCTTGAATACCACCAGCCCTCCTATGACAGTCACAGTGTTCAGCGCCTACTCCGGTTATCACATGATCTTAAACTCTTAATTTTCTTTGAAAATCTGCCAAAGAAATTGTTTAGGCTGAGATGTCAGTCAAAGAGATAGGAAAACAGGCCATCTAGGAAACTGCAGAAGATTATAATGTGGCTTAAATTTTGGTTAAGAATTTGGTTTCTTAAAATAATTAACAATTTTAAACACATATTTATGGAAGACCTGGAAGCAGGAGCGGCATCCACTTCCAAAATGGCTTGCCTCCCGGAATCGCTATGTACGAACAGTGCTCAGGCTGTTCGTTCATAGGGTCGCTATGAGTCGTCTGTGACTCGACGGCATTAAACAACAACAACAATTTATGGAAGAAAGTGCCTATTTGTTGGATCTCAGAAACGGCTTCGTTGAGGAAAGATTTACAATCTTGGGAACGTTATGGGGCTGTTTGACTCAGTCTTTGTGGTCTGAGTCTTCATCGACTGGAAGGCAGTGGGCTTTGTTTTGGTTTTGTGTTTATGTATGGATGAGGGTTTTGGTAAGGGTTTTTTTCCCCCTCCTTGATGCGGCACCTTCTCAGCTATAGACTAGATTTACATTATCAGATTTCTGTGTAGCATGTTATCTAATATGTGTGTGAATATTTTATACATCAGTCTCTGGGTAGTGCGGATGTTTTCCTCAACTATTAATTTAAAGTTGGCTGTTTGAACCTATCCAGCAGCAGTGTGGAAGAAAGCCTTGGTGATTAGTTCCATAAATATTACAGTTAAGAAAACTGGAGTGCTCTTCTTGTTATTAGGCTCCATTGAGTTTGATGTGACTCAGTGACCTGACTTACAATAGAACAAAACCCTTCCTAATCCTTTGCCATCCTCACAGTCTCTGCTGTGCTCAAGTTCAATGTTGTAGTCACTGCATCAGTTCATTTCATTAAGGGCCTTCCTGTACCTTACCAACCCTTTACTTTTGCAAGCATGATGTCCTCCAGGGACTGGCCCTTCCAGGTAACGTAGCCTTAATAAGTGGGATGAAGTCTCCCTGTCCTTGCCTCTGAGGAGCACTCTGCACTTTTCCCAAGACAGATTTGTCTGTTTGGCAGTCCACGGTATGTTCAGTACTGTTTGCCAGTACAATTCAAAGACATCAATTTTTTGGTCTACTTTAGTCATTGTCCAACTTTCAGATGCATAGGAAGCACTTAAAAATACCATGGCTTGATCAGGTGTACCTTAGTCTTTTAAGTGACATCCTTAATCTTTAGCATTTTAAAGAGGTTCTTAGCAACAGATTTGCCCACTGCAGTCCACTGATTTTCTTACTGCTGTTCCCATAGGTGTTTTATATACCAGTAATATTAATTTTTTTACAACCTCATCCTTTTCACCTTATGAAATAGTTATACTTTATAACACATGGGATGCAATGAGTATAAATTGTTGTTGTTCTTGCTATGTGCTGTCAAGTTGCCTGCGACTCATAGGGACCTTGTGTACAACAGCTCTAAATCCTGCTCTATCCTGTGCCAGTCTTATCGTCTCCAATACACCTACCCCCATCACTGAATTAATCTATCTCATTGAGGATCTTCCTCTCCTGCGCTGTTCCTCCACCCTCCCAAGCATGAAGTCCCTCTCCAAGAACTGATTCCACCTTGCAACATGTCCATAGTATGTCAGACAAAGCTTCAGAATCTTTGCCTGCAGGCAGCAGTCTGGCTTCACTCTCTCTGGAATGAACTTGTTTGTTCTCCTAGCAGTCCATGGTATATTCAGTACTTTTCTCTAGCACCACAGCTAAAAGGCATCAATTATCCTTCTGTCATCCCTACTCATTTTCAGGCTTTCTACTGCATAGCAAGTAATTGCAAAGACCATGTTCTGTATCAGGCACACCTTAGTCTTCAGACTGCTGTTGTTGCTCTTCAGTACTTTGGAGAGGTCTCTGACAGTAGACTTTCCCAATGCAATTCGTCTTTTGATTTTCTGTTTGCTGGTACCAAGAGGGTTGATTGTGGAGTCAAGCAAACTAAAGCTGTTAACAATCTCAATCTCTTCACCATCTGTCATGTGCTGCCAGTTGGCCCAGTGGGGAGAATCTTTGTTTTCTTGATGTTGAGCTTCAATCTATATTGAAGGCTGCAGTCCTTGACCTTCTGCAGCAAGTGCTTCAGGTCCTCCTCACTTTCAGCAAGTATATATAAACATGGAGCTCCAGTAGCCAAGAGGTAACAAGTTGCATTGTCAATACAAAGGCAGACAGTTTGAATCCACTAGGTACTCTATGGGATGAAGATGAGCAGTCTCCTGTGTACTTTATAGCCAATGAACACCCCCTGGAAAGTTAGCTGTGAGTTGATTCTAACTTATTGGTAATGAACAAATAATACACTCATTGCCATCCAGTCATAACTAACTCTGTAGCTGGCCCTCCATCTGGTTTCCAAAGCTTGCCTGGGAAGATACTGTTCATCTTTCTCCCTCAGAGCCATTGGTGGATTCTAACTGCTAGAGAGGCAACTTCCTATATAAACTTAAGCATACAAGCATAGGTGATAGGCCTGTATATTTGATGATTAACCACTCATTCTTGTTTGTCATAAAGATTTACAGGCATCGTCTGTTGAAACCATGACCAGGTGGGCACGAGTAACTACCACAAATAATAAGAGACCCTTTGCTGCGTCATCATGGGAGGATATGAAGAAGGGATCTTCCGAGGGAACAAGTCAGAGCCAGCCAAAGGGTAAACAACTTGACAGCAGTAGGCTTCCCCTTAAAAATGACAAATTCCAAGCAAAGCACAAAAAGAACAAGAAGAAAAAAGAGTACTTAAATGAAGATGTGAATGGATTCATGGAATACTTACGACAGAACTCACAGATGTCTCACAGTGGGGAAATGATAGCAGCAGACAGCCAAGATATGAGGGAAGAAGTTGCACTTGCTTTGAAGAAAGACAGTCGACGAGAAGGGAGAAGGTTAAAAAGACAGGCAGCAAAGAAAAATGCAATGGTAAGATCATTACTTCTGTTGTGCTATCTCCTTTATAGGTCTAGAAACATGATTATTCATACACATATATTTTAATAAGGTCTGATTGTTGATATGCATCAGGTTTATAAAGTATCTTTATATTACAGCAGCTGCCCCTTTTCTATCATCTCCATTATTATGTCCTCGAGGTCTTTGGGTAGAATAGACAATCTGTGCTGGACTATTCACTGATTTGTTGGCTGTTTGAACCCACGCACTGGCTTTGTGGAAGAAAGGCCTGGCTGTCTACTTTTATAAAGATAGTGGCCAAGAAACCCTGTGGAGCAGTTGTTGGGGGTCATTGTTATATGCTTTTGAATCAGAACAAACTCATTGCTGACCCTCCAGCAGTTAATCCCAGAAGGGGAGATTGTCCATCCTTCTCCTGCAGAGCAGCTGGTAGATTCAAACCATGTGCCTTTGTGGTTGCAGCACAGCTTCTTAGCACTCCCAGAGCTCTCCCAACAAGTGGCATAGTCACAATCAACTCATGCATAAAATTTAAATGTTCCCGTGCTCCTGTGTGGTACCACTGTTAACTTGCTTGCCTACTGACTGAACATTAGAGTTTTAGGCCTCCTGGAGGTGCCTCTGAAGAAAGGCCTTGCGATGTACCTCAGATTCTGTTTTATTTTCTTTCACTTCAAAGATGGTAGCATTCTTCCATATTAGGGATGAAAAGCACTGAAATGCAAAGTAGGCAGGTAACTGCTTAAAAGTCACTTCTGTCAGAGGTGAAATTCAAACTGAGAGTTTATCTAATGTCAAAAGTTATGAGCTTGGAATTTTTTTTTTTAACTTTTTCTGTGATTTGAGTGAAATTTACAGAGCAAATTGATTTCCTTTTCAGCAACTCAAATGTATGATTACATGATACTGTATGTATGTATAATGTATGTTGTTGTTTATGTTAAGTGCTGTCGAGTCATAGACGACTCATAGCAACCCTATGAACGAAAGTCCTCGACAATTGGCGTGACTTTCATCCTTTCTCCAGGTTCATAGGGTTTCCGGAGGCAAGCTATTACAGAAGTGGATGCCACCCCTGCTTCCAAGCTTGTTTTTACAGGGGAGCGCCACCAAACACTGTCCACCATGGGTAACCATTATCACATTTGACACATCAGTGTCACAGTGTTGAGCTTCACAGTGACCACAAGTTACCTCTGCATGGCAAGTGGACACACCAGGACTATACAACGTAGAAGAATGTTTCACCAAAAACAATTAAAGACAGGCCATAGGGCTGCAGATTAGAGTCACCTACTTTTGGCTTGATAGCATCGCTTTCGGTCCATTAGGCCACTGGTCTCTCTATGTTGTTAACTGCCATTGAGTTGTAGTTGACTCATAGCGACCCTGTGAACGAAAGTCCTAGACACTTGCGTGACTTTCATCCTTTCTCCAGGTTCATAGGGTTTCCGGAGGCAAGCTGTTTACGGAAGTGGATGCCACTCTTGCTTCCAAATGTATAATGTATATACATATATAAATTACATAATATATAAACATAATGTATATGCCTATAACTAGATGTATAATGTATGTATGATTCATGATACTGATTACAGTCCCCACATTCTGACAGCCTCTTCCTGTCCCATGTGTCCTTCTTCCTACTCCTTCCTGCCTTCATAGACACCTGCTGCCCTTTTGCTCTTGCATGGTCATTTTTCTGAGAAGAGCATTCCTCCCTGTTGCTCTTGATCACTCTGCAGGATCATTGTTTAGCTGAAACTTGAGTCATTGCAGTGGGTTCAGTGTTAGGATTGAAGGATGACTAGGGGCTAGAGTCTTAGAATCCCTATAGCCTCTATCTGACAAGTATGTCTGGTCTTTTTTTCATGATTTTGAGTTTTATTACATGTTTTTCTCCCAGTTTAAGGTAGTCTTCCTTTTGTGTTTCCTTTCAGAGCAGTCAGGGGTGGTAGCTGGCACCATCTAGTTATTCTCATCTCAGGGTAGTGGAGATTGACGTTCGCAAGGCCCATTTGGACTAACAGTCTTCGATTTTCTTCACTGTTTTTTACTTCAGATGAGGTGAGACCAGTAGTCTTTACATAGATTCTCTCAGGTTTTAAGAGCCCAGTCATTTCCCATTATAGGAGGATGTAGATTGGACATAGTTTCCTTCTATTCTGCATGGAGCCACTGAGTCATAGTCAACTCGATGGCACCTAACAACAACAACTACAGATACATATGCAGAAATGAGAGATCGATATGATTATGAGTGTCATGTCATTCGTGTTCTTGCTTGTGTGCCCATTTGTAGATTAATATCTGTTATTACTGATAATGCAAGCGTATACCCGTAATAGTTTCTTTCTTTGTGACTCTTATGCACCTCTCTGTATTCTTTTCCTTAGTGATACTGCACTGATCCCACAAAATTTATGTTCTCCAGTAATCATTTTTCAAACAGCCATTTGAAAATATAGCATCAAGTTGTAAATATAATAAAAAAGATGATGTTTAGGGAGCTCTGGTGGCCTAGTGGCAAGAAGCTGCACTGCAATCTCGAAGGCGTGGGGCTCAAATCCATCAGATGATCCCCTGGAGAGGAAGAGGCATCTCCTCTTGTGCCAGTCAGATCAGATTCGATGGTACACAACAAGGAGAGGGGGAAAAGAAGATGAAGTCTAGCTGACTAAATGTGTCCTCTTCTGTCTTTATCCTTGAAAAACTGCCATGGTGAGAGGCTGTCTGGTAAGAATCCTATTAGGAGCAGAGCAGAGTAATAGCAGAATTAAAACACTAGACTTCTGTAGTTACTGCTCCCTTTCCTGATGCCCATAGCGAAAAATACTTTCTGTAACACCTTTGTTTCTATAGTGCTGAACTGAGGTGAGGGTTTGATACTTGGGTGTACTCAGGAAACGGATGCGTCTTTCCCTTCTCTAAGCGAACTTCTGCCGCCTTTATGCAAAATACTATATGAGAAACAAGACTTGTCCGTTATTATACTTCTATTGTTTGTTAAAATGACCACATGTAAAACACTGTCCTTATGAAAGCTTAAAATTTTACAGGCTCAATCATGTTGAAAAAGAAAGGCTTCGTGTAGTTTAGTGGACAAAAACAAAATGAAAATTTTATAGCTTCTATAAATGTGGCTGATAAGTCAGTATGGCTGAATTTGAAAGATAATTATTTCTGTTTGGATCAGGATTGATACAGTTCTATTTGGATTTGAAATTAATTATCAATATTTTGAACAAATAAGTTAAAATTGAAAGATAATTAGATAATTTTCTTGATATTTAACATAATACTTAGTAGTTTACTGTTTTTAAAAGTTTAATATTAAAAAATAAAAAATAAAGTTTAATATTGTGATCTTTTAACAAAACTTTATACTTGTATTTAAAGGAAGGGAGGATTTTTTTTTAAACGGAATAAGTGTTTTATATTTTGTGATTTGCTGTGACCTCCTTCCAACTCATTTTTTCCCTAATATTTTAAAAATCTCATACTAGCACCAATTTTTAAATACATATAGATGGATTTGGCTGTGAAAATTTATCAGGCAGCTCTCCATAGTACCACCAACAGTACATTTGAACATCATTAAGGAAAATTGTAGTGGGTGATGGTTAGATTGTAAAGGTGAAGAGTATGAATTGTAACAGTAGAGGATGCCTTGATCAAGAATTCTTATGTTGATCTAGTTTGCTAATGTAGCCTTGTCTATAGTTGTAGATTAACTTCTTTATATTGTTGTTTGAGTCAACTCAATTTTAAATGTAAAAATCATTAAAAAATTGATATATAAAGGGGAATATTCTCTTCAAATATGATACGAAACTAGAATAATAATTGTAAAAGATTATGTATTTTAATGCATCTTTAATTTGGTTTTGGTTTTCTTTTTTAAATTTTATTATTTTTGTGTCTGTGTGTACCATCAAATCAGATCTGACTGATAAAGGAGGAGCTTGCCCTTCCTTGTCCAGTAGAGCATCCTCTGGGATTGAAGTACAACTTCTTGCCACTAGGCCACCAGTTGTTGTTGTTATGTGCCATCGAGTTGTTTGTGACTCATAGCGACCCTATGTACAACAACCCTAAACCCTACTCTATCCTGTGCCAATCGTACTGCCTCTGACACACCTATCCTCATTACCCCAGTCACTGAATCAGTCCATCTCATAGAGGGTCTTCCCCTCCTGCACTGTCCCTCCACCCTACCAAGCATGATGTCCCTCTCCAAGGACCTGTCTCTCCTTACAACATGTCCAAAGTATGTCGCACGAAGCCCCAGAATCCTTGCCTCCAAAGAGTAGCCTGGTTTAACCCTCTCCAGGATAAATCTGTTTGTTTTCTTGGCAGCCCATGGTACATTCAATACTCTTCTCCAGCACCACAGCTCAAAGGCATCAGTTCCCCTTCTATCCTCCCTAGTTATTGTTCTACTCTCTGATGCATAACAAGTGATTGCAAAGACCATGGCCTGTATCAGGCGCACCTTAGTCTCCAGAGAGACACCGTTGCTCCTGAGTACTTTAGAGAGGTCCCTAACAGCAGACTTTCCCATCGCAACACTTTTTCTATTTCCTGGCTGCTGGTGCCAAGAGTGTTGACCGTGGAGACGAGCAAACTGAAGCTATGAACAATCTCAATCTCTTCACCATCCATCCTGATGCTGCCAATTGGTCCAGTGGTGAGAATCTTTGTCTTTTTGACATTGAGCCTCAGCCCATACTGAAGGCTGCAGTCCTTGATCCTTTGCAGCAAGTGTATGAGGTCTTCCTCAGTTTCAGCAAACAGGGTTGTGTCATCTGCATAATGCAGATTGTTAATAGATTTTCCACCAATCCCGACGCCACACTTCTCCTCATAGAGCCCAGCCTCTCGGATAATCTGTTCTGCATACAGGTTGAAAAGGTATGGAGATAGGACACACCCTTCCCTATTCTGAACCATGCAGTGTTACCCTGCTCTGGTCTGATGACTGCCTCTTGGTCCAAGTCTAGGTTTCGCATTGGAACGATCAAGTGTTCTGGGATTCCCATTCTTCTCAGAGTCAGCCACAGTTTGTTATGGTCCACACAGTCAAACGCCTTTGCATAATCAATGAAACACAGATAGACATTCTTCTGGTATTCCCTACTTTCAGCTAAGATCCATCTAACATTAGCTACAATATCCCTAGTACCACGACTCCTTCTAAAACCAGCCTGGACTTCTGGCAGTTCTCTGCTGATGTGCTGTTCCAGTCGTTTTTGGATAATCTTCAGTAGAATCTTGCTTGCGTGTGAAATCAATTTGTTTATTTTTGTATATGCATATTTTGAAAAACAATGAAGTAGTTAGCTATTGGTATCAAAGAAGTAGGTAATAAAATTGTTTAAAATACCTGTCATCATTGATAATGACTGCTTTTCTCATTTAGTGTTGTTAAGAAGAGAGAATCTAAATTTCTTTGTAGTCTGAAAAGTAGCTGAATGTTGGAGCCAGATTTTTCTTTTTGGGGGGGCTTTGAAGGGTGTTTTTTTTTAAAATTTGGAAACATTCTGGTCCCTGCTGATGGCATTTAAAAATTCTTTAGAAGGGAATGTGGATATAATTAAAAATCTTAATATTTGTGAGTATTAGAGACTATGTTATATAAAAAATGAAGGATATAATTTTTTATATGAAAATATCACACGATTATAATCATTTACGTGGACTCATTTAATAAAACTTATTTAAATATTTTACTTTGAAACGGAAAATACAATTTTGAGTGAAAATTTTACAGCCATTGTTATCCTTTCCATTACTACTAATGAACTAGTCCATATTTGCTTAATTCATTTAAGCAGTTTCCTCCTGTGATGCCGTTTATTTCTTGTTTCTGAGTTTGATGGGTTTGTGCACTGAAAGTTTTCTAGAACATTGAGAGTTTCTAATGGAAAAAGAACACTTCTTTCTGTTCAGAAATACGTGAAGTGCTTTTTCCTTTACATAAAAATGTTGAGAATTTTTTAAAAAGACCTAGCTTATAACTTTAAGATGAAGAAAGTTTAGAGATGCTTTTGAGAATAAGAACTGGCGAGCCCAGGTGGTATTACAGTGTGGATGTTCACCTTTTGTTTTCTCAGGTATGTTTCCATTGTAGAAAACCTGGACATGGGATAGCAGATTGCCCGGCTGCCCTTGAGAACCAGGATATGGGCACTGGAATATGTTATCGGTGTGGATCCACAGAGCATGAAATAACCAAGTGCAGGGCCAAAGTGGACGTAGCTCTTGGTATGTTTTTCTGTTGGTGGTTTGGTTGGTTGGTGGGGAAAGTGTCTATGTTAGGAGTATGTCACTTAACATTTTGAAATTGTATTAGATTAATTTTTAAAAATATTTTTTTAAAAAATACATTTTCTAATCAACAAAGGCAATAGAAGAGCCATGTAAGCGAGACAGGGAAAAGCACTCTGTGAGTCTATAAATAATAGAGTGCTATTTGCTCAGACCCCTTTGGTTGAATGTATGTCCTTATGTAATTGAAAAACATACAAAAGGATATCTTTTTAGCCTAACAGTGAGGAGTTACTTTGGTCATTCCATTGTATGAACTGACTTGTGTCTCTATTAGTGAGATCTCAATTCATTATTTCTTGGTTCTTAGCACCACTGACCAGGTAATAAATTTTGTAAACAAATTTTCTTCAGTTCTTATGATCACTTATAGCTGTGCTTGACTTGGAAACAGTATTTAAAATGGGTATAAAATGATTATGCCTTTTCTCTTATACTTAACAAATTGTAGATGGTACTATAAGTTTTACATGTATAAAATTAGAAATCCTTATGTATGACTTAATTCTGGCGCTTTGAGTGACTATAGTGCTACTTTTCTTTTTCTGTACTTGACAGGTTTTAATAAATACTTTGGGGGATAAAAAAAAATACATTTTCTAAGTGACATTTTAAAATACTATTGTAAACTTACCAGGAACTGTTGATTCTTAACAGGGGAATTTCCTTTTGCCAAATGTTTTGTGTGCGGGGAAATGGGGCACCTGTCCAGATCTTGTCCTGATAATCCCAAAGGAGTCTATGCTGATGGTGAGTGCTGTTACCCTCACATAGAAAGATGTACTGAGTCATCACACAGAGTTGTGATTTAATTTACTGTCAGAATTCTAGAATAAATAGCAAAACCTTGGAAGTTTTACTATTTTTATCACATGTTAGTTACATACTGGTTTTCTTATGTAATGTGATTAGATCACTTATAAATTCCTAATTTGAAATGTAAAAGCAGCAGAGGGATTAGTTCTTAAGCTAATATAAGATTTTTAAAATAATGTAAATTGACTCAGTTTAGCATACCATATTAGTTATAATTTTGTGGCCTGTTAGCTATTATCTTAAGATCCTGAAATAAAGTCTCTAGTGTTTAAAGCTTTAAGAAAATTTTTATGGTTAATGGGAATTCACACACTGGTCTAAGAGCCTGTGCCTGGGGTATCATGAGGTTCTAGACCTTTCTCATCTTATGTTCTGGCCTCCCTGCGGAAGCTCAATAATCAGACATCATTTTTTAAGTAGGTTAAACTTGGACTCTAATACTAGCCCAGCCCTCGACAAGCTGTAGGGCTTCGGCCATACTCCTTTTCCCAGCCTCGTTTTCCTCACTTAGAAGATGACAGTGATAAACATTTCATTTATTCTGAAATGTTTGGGTTTTTTCCATTTTATGTCTCTGAAATCAGGGTATATCTTACCATTAATTGGTGTCACATAATTGGCAGGGTGTGTTTCCTTTGAATGGTATATATAAGTTAATGATATATTTACAATCTCTTGAATTGATGCATTGTGCTATTTTTTTAAAGAATTTTTGTAAGGTCAAAATACAGTATTTCAGTGTCTGAAGTACTCTGAATTATAAACTAGTAAAGAGGCCTGGGCCTATAGGAGCCTTTCAGATGTGAATGACCAAAGATTTGTATTGTGAGCCAAAATCATGAATTTTTTGTTGTTGTTAATTACATCAAGAAGACTAGAGCACCGAAAAATGAGAGTTCAGCTAGATTTATATTCCATAGAAATATTTTTCTCACTAAGTGACTTAACACTTGTAGTGGGAAAATCCCCTCTAAAACCTCCAAGTCTCTTCACAGTGATAACAAAGAGTTTGTTATTGCATTGAAATAGTGTTTTACAAAACAGGTTTATTCTTTTTTAAATACTTTTTTTAAAACTTTTGACAGAATACTCCCAGGTGATAGAAGAATTGGTGAAGATTACAAATAAAAGTGGTTGTATTTGGGGTGTATTTGATTGCTTAGGTCTTGGTTGACCTCTGTAGGGATTTTTCTTTGTCCAAATGGCTCTAGGTGACAACATATTACTGACCATGAATTTCTTGGAATTATTTTAAAATGTAGATACAGGGTTCTGTAAAGGGAGTCTAGGGATATTTGCTGAGAATGGAACAGCTGTGGGTTTCCTAGCACATTAGATAATTGAGGCCAAAAAAGTAATAGTGAGTTTAGATGTACATCATGTTGTTGTTGTTGTTGTTTTGTGCCATCGAGTCGTTTCCGACTCATAGCGACCCTATGCACAACAGCTCTAAACTCTGCTCTATCCTGCGCCAACCGCACCGCCTCTGACACACCCATCCCTA